CGACCAGTCTGCTGCGCAGATCTTCCTCCACGGCCACCTCGACCGCCTCTGCCTTGGTTTCTTCTACCAGGCATCTTGCTCTGTAGTCCCTCCTACTTTGCAATGTTCAAAAATTACCTTTGTTGATCGACTGTCAGATAATCAACTCCGTAGCTGTAATGAGAGCCTCAACGCTCTAGCTACCTCTGGAGTATACTGAGCTCGAATCTACGTCGGCTATGGATTGCCTACAATAGGAACAGGTGCCAGTGATGCTGGGCTTCAACCTGCGGATGAACAGTCTCACCACTTCCTATTAGATCTTATTCTACTGCTATTCTTGCCAGAAGTCAATCGACAATGATCTCCACAAGCAGGTACAAAAAATCTCTTCCGGAAGCCGTCTGCGTCAGCTCTCACCAGCAGTCGCGGCGTATAAAGCACATATGCACATGTTCTTCACGAACTAGTCACAGAGTAGATCTACCTTCAATACTTATCCATCTCTGTACGTACTCGAACCGTACTTCTGTCCGTGTTCGATATCATCAATGTCCGACTTAAATGTCCGACATGTTCGACTGTTCTTTTACCTATCAAGATCCCATTTCACCAACATTCTTTCTCTCTCTTCTGCTGACTCTCTGTCTTGTCTCCTGTTCCATCATGTCCGATAGAGTCCTTTGCGACGACAAACAACTTTGACTCCGGTAGGCTTCCTCCATGGTAGCAGGTCTCCATGTAGGTCCCCAAGTCGGGTAGGTTTTCTTCTGCGTTTGTGCCGGATCTTACCAAACGCTCAAAGTAACGATCAATTTGGGAATAGATTCCAAAGAGAAATCTCTCGAGTGCTCGATCCTGCTGGGACACTCCCATCTTTTGTGCGATCGAATCCACATTCTTTGCAAACTTTTTGTACACGGCTGTCAGTGAATGAGTTTTCCCAAACACTACACGGTAGAATACCCGCATGCCATTGACCATCTCAAGGAACTGCATGGGATCCTTTGGGAAGATAGCATGCTTGATCTTGTCGTGGGCTTGATGATCCTTCATTGAAGCGGTTGTCTTTTTGCCCGTCAACCAATAATCGCTCTTGTTGTAATCGTTGATCGCGTTTGCATTTTTGTAGTGCTAGAAGCAGACACTATTGAACACACGTTCAAACCCTTTTCAACGTCGCCGCGCGAACAAAATTCCAATTCCACCAGGCTCTTGATTACTTGGGTTGAAACGATGATTTCCAGATTGAGGTTTAGTTTCTTGGCCTCATCGTCCAGCAGGGACTGCACAATTCCAATTGATTTGTGCTTCTTACACTTTGCTAGCTCGTGCCAGAGGGTGGGGAGCTGAGCTGAGGTCGTGGTACCAGCAACTCTCTTCAGGTAGGAGAGCCTTGTGGGCCACTTCTTTTCCACTGTATTTGGGGGGGGCTTGTGCGATGCTTGTCCCTGGATACCCGCTACCACTACCTCCGAAAGCGATTCCACAGAGGTCTTGGTCGTCTTATTGCTCTCCTCGACGGCTGCCAAGGTCTTGGTGAACAGTTCGTAGGTCTTGTCGGAGGAATCTCCAGATGAGTCCTCCGAGTCCAATCCGGCGAAATCCGAATTGATTACTCTGGAAACCCAGCGTCAGGCAGATGTCGTAGTGAGAACAGCAGGTTCTCCGATGTTCTTCGAAAGCTGATCTCTCCCAATGACCGTGTTCGCCATGCGCCAATGGTCCACGAAGTGCCGGAACTTCTCCTTCACTTCCGAAATTTTTTCAGGCTCCTTGCTGTTGGCGAGAATCTTGATTCTATCAATCACCAATCGCAAGACTTCGCGTGCCGACGATCCGTCCCAAGTGATATCCAAGAACTCCTTGGGAATGGGCATTCGCTTGCGTGTAACCAGTAGGTCGTAGGCCATCTCAGGATCTTCGTCAGTGATATCCTCCCGTCTCAGGATCTTTGTCGGTGATATCCTCCATCACAAACAACTTGGAGCGATCCTGCTCGAGCTCGTCGTTTATCAACCACGCCTCCAACTTTGGAACCTTAACCGGATTGGTTTTTGAGAAGGCCTTTGCTGGCCAAGAGAATGCCAGTGGGTCGCTCCCGTTCTCCAGAACGTCATGGTCCAGCACGTACAATTTATCAAAATGCTGCTCTTTCTTTTCGCCAACCGTTGTGTACCTAATCATTGGGCGATGCCAAAAATTAAAGTTGTTCACCTGTTCCTTGGGCCATCCCGTGTACCAGGCCGGGGCGCCTCCTTGCACACCCTTTTCGACAAGGCTGTTTAGATCTTGCAACTGAAGGTCCTTGGTGGGATCAAAGGCATTGAGGACCGCCTTGGAATCATGGTTTGGGTAGCTCGCCTGAGTGGTGAGGTAGCGGTAGCTCTTTTTGCGCACGGTGAAGTCCGTAATGGTCATGGTGATGGGTGTTACAGGTAGAAGAGCCGTGTGCTTTCCTAATCTTAATAACTATCTATTCCTAGACTTCAAATTCACTCTGTCAAATACAGAGCAGTCTTTTCAAAAGGAATTAGCTGCAACTGAGCTGCAGCTCATTCACCAACATTTTTCACAACCTCTTTGGTACGTAGCTTTCCACTGTCTTGCTACTGTACCTTCTTTGCATACGTACTTGGGCGTTCCAATCCGTCCGCCCTTCGCTAGCCAACACCTGCAGTGAATCCGAACTGGAATCGGGGCCTGACCGGCTTGCTCACTCCTTCTGCACGGGGATCTGTGATCCGACATCATCACTGCTCGTGGAATTCATTCTTGGTCGGTGATCGTCGCGTTTTGGTTGTAGTTTGTTAAATTACAGACAGTTCCCCTAATTGACCATTGTTTCTGTCCTCTGAGTCAAAAATTCTGTGAATTTTTCACAGATGTTCCGAAATCTCTGTGAATGACCAACAGATGTTCCGAAATCTCTGTGAATTTTTCACAGATGTTCCGAAACTTCTGTGAAAAATTTACAGGTTTTTGTGGGGTCATTACAGATGTTCCGCAATTGCTGTGAAAATAAAACAAGCTTTAAAATTTAATCTGGCAAATGAAGTTGAATACTTACGGCATTGTGAACAATTATAAAATTCCTTGTCGTAGAAGTTTCTTTCTGGCAGGCAATAAGTGAAAGTCAATTTTTGAAGTTTCGTGCAGAAGAGGGTGAAAATGACCACATCGACTCACCAAGAAAAAGAGAAAGCTGGCTTCACAGAAAACTGCGGGATATCCCAGCAAAGGATATGGTTGTCATTTCCGTCCGGCGTGGAACATACCACTCAACAGCCATCGTCTTGCAGTCGACCCACATCGTCTTTAGATCGCACGTAAACGAGAGACTCTGGATTGGGCTTTGAGTCAATAAAGGTAGTTAATACAAAGTAGGTTGATAAATAATCAAATAATAAATTGTGAGATTATCAATACTTGATACTACTTGGAAAGAGTTGCTGCATTGAATCTCTAAGAAAGCTAATGAAATTTGAAGAGAGCTAGAGCATCGATTTCCAGTCATGACTGGAGTCCCAGCTAGCGGAGTAGCGAAGGCGTCTGTGCGTCAGTACGTCTACTGAGAGCCCAATATTCCAACACTCCCTCTTGCCAAGCTATGCAGGTAGCGGGAGATGCTTACCAGCCAATTAACCATTTCCTATGCTTGATAAAGAGTTCGACAGCCAGTGGTTTTGTCAGTATATCAGCTGGTTGATCCTCAGTATCAATAGGATGAATGGTAATCTCCTTCCTTGTTACATATGACCTAAAGTGGTGCAGTTTTGTGCAGAGGTGTTTTGTCCTGGGTCTCCACTTGTGGATTTTTGCCATTTCCAATGCTCCACTATTGTCTTCAAAGACTCTGCAATGGACTTTTGGGCGCTGGTCCAGGACAGGGATTCCATGCCTTTTCATTTCCTTGAGTAGGTTCATGAGGGGAAGCACTTCACACAATACACAACTGAGACCAGTGTATTTGCTTTTGGTAGAGCTCAAAGCGATTTTGGTTTGTAATTGACTTTTGTGAATTATTGCAACACCGGCGTACATGATGATGTAGCCATGATGCAAGCATGCTGTGTCTGGATCATGTCCATAGCGTTTGTTCCAGTTCCCACAAAAATCTGCATCAACATACACCTCAAATGATTTTCTCAAGTCCGGTTTGATGAACATTCCCTTATCTGCCATGCCTAAAAGGTAACCTCCAATTTGTTTGATTGCTTCACCATGTGCTTTCTTTGGTGCTGGTGACATGCATATGCAAGTTCCAGTCTTGTTCCTTTCTCCAGGTAGGCAATTTTCCCAACAATTGATCAATATTTGAATTGATTGTCAAATGGCAGGGAGTATGCTTCCTTTTGAAGGATTCTGGAGTGGATCATTGGAGTGTCTTGAGAGTTTGAATCTTTGATTGGTTTGTCCTTTTGCTTGAGTCGCAGGTCTCTAGGATCTGATTGATGAGGTGAGGCTGCGTGAGCCAAAATCTGCCATCCTTCTTCTTGATGTTGACTCCAAGAAAGTTCTTGAGATCCCCTTCAACAGTCAAGCCTAATCTTTCTTTCATCAAAGAGATTGTTTCATTGATTTCTTTCTTGTTGGGTTCTGCAATGATTGAGTCATCCGTGTACAAGACATAGATCATTTTGCCCTTGAAGAAGATGCAGTCATCCACCTTGGATTGGGCAAAGCCACATTCTCTCAGCTTCTTGACCAGGAACTGGTTCTAGACACGTCCAGCTTGTTTTTGGCCGCATGTGTTGCGTCTCACTTTGAAACAATAATCAGCCAGGTCTGCTCCATCAAGGTCTATCCCTTTTGGAATCTGCATGTACAGCTCCCTCTCAACTGGTGATTGGGTGAATGCCAGTACATAATCGAGCTGTACTGTGTGCCATCCAAGTGTGAGAGCAAGTGCCAAGAGGAGCTTGATGATTCCCCAGCTTGCTACAGGAGCATAGGTAAGATCGTAATTGCAATGCTTTACCATCCTGGATCCATCAATATTTAACCAAGCCTTCCATTTCTTTACTTTTCCAGTTTTGATATTGCGCTTGCGCTTCATCTGCCATACCGCAGGTAGCAAAGTCGCTCCTTTTGGTAAGTCCTTCTTTTGGATGCGTTCGATAACCTTTTGATCCATCTGATTGATCATCTCCTTCATTGCCTTTTGAAACTCCTTCCGATCAGGTTGCTTCATTGCCTGGTGCAGATACATTGTGTCTAGATCAGTTGATGCCTTCATTGCAAGGAAATCATGAGGTTCCACTGCATTGGGAAACATTGTTTCCATTTCAAAGAGTTCAAAAGGTATGTCCAGATTGGCGAGCTCAGCGGTCATGACTTCGATGACTCGCTCTGGTTGTTGTCTTTGCCTTATTGATCTTCTAACTGATTGGTGACAATCTCCGGCAGGTGTCACTCTTGGTGACGGTGGTGCTGCCACTGGGGCAGGAGCTGGAGCTGGTTGGCCATCTCCTGTCGGAGCCTGCTCTTGCTCAAGTGTCCCTGGGGACAGGTGATCCGGAAGTTCAGATTGTTGAGGAGCTCTCTCCCTCTTAATCTTGGATCATCCGGTTCCTTGTTTCTTCAATAGGTAAGTTGAATCCAACTTGTGGTGGAACTGTTGGAGTGTCAGCCTGGGCTGCCTCCCTCTGACCATTGCAATCAGTTCCTCCTCTTTTCTCACCCTTCTCTTGTCCATCCACAAAGTAGGCCGCTTCCATCCATTTGACTTTGGGTCTCTCTTGGCGAGTGCAATTCTTCACAGAGTGGAATTTGGATTCCATGTATACATGGAATTCTGGTCCTACTCTTCCTGTCGTGAGGTTGAGAACCAGTTGCACACTTCTTGAGTGTTGCGGGGATGGACCCAAATAGATGCCGACCTGGGTCCTTGGCATCCATTTGCCTCCTGCAGGTCTTCTGCCTTGCTGCACGTTCTTGTCCAAGACAAACACAGGGCATCCAAAGTGGTGCCAGTGCTTTGGATTATTATCCACTTTGGAACTTGAAAACATCTCGTCTGGAGAGCTTCTTCAGATCTGCTAACCACAGTGTTGCATTGATCGAGAGATTTGCCATGCGGACTGCAAAGGGCCACAGACGAGCATTGATTGCCTTGGGCCATCTCTTTGTTGCATGAATCAACAAGGTACGTGCCATGTCCTGGATATGCTTGATCCTTGCTTCAGCTCTTCCGTTCTGATGATGTGCATTGACTCCTGCAAAGCTTATGGACTGCTCCTTCCGGTAACACGCATCAATCCACCCTATGGCGGCAAACGTTCCGTTGTCTGCATGGTAGTGTTGGACTTGGATCCCGTAGGTTGCAGCAAGTCGCTCAAATGCTTCCTTGCCTACCAGCGTCTCTTTCACGGATGTGCTCTTCTAGAAGTGCACATAGCTGAAGTTGGAGTATTGGTCAACATAAACGGTTGCAACTCTGTACCGTTCTTTGGTAAGAAATCCAGATGTTTGTGGGATCAAACCTGGTACTCCTGTTTCCATCATGTCAACACTAACCACTTGTCCTGGTCTTGTTCCTTTTTTTGCTTTGCGACCATTCTTCTTGTTCTTGGTGCGCCACGGCCTTCTGGTTGCCTTTCCAAATTGGCAAGCACTGCATACAGGTACATTGCATGTTGCCAAGTATTTTGGGAGCTCACCTTTCTTTGCCATTGCTTGGATCTTGGCTGGTGAACAGTGATTGAACTTGTGGTGGTACTTGAGGAACTCAGCTGTGTGATTTTCTTTTTGAGTGTCCTCTTCATTGTCCTCAATGTGTATTGGTGCTGAACTTTTGTTCTTGTCCATATCGAGATCAAAAGTCATTGGTGTTTCACACATTGGAGGTTCGGGATCATCTTCAGATGGTTCAGATTCTTCCTCTCGATGGGAAGTTGGTGTTGTGATTTTCTCATTGTCATGCTTGTCATCACTGACCATCGTTGCCTCCATTGCTGTAGGTGCTTCAAGGTCCTCTTCAAAGAGGTCGTCTTCCTGGTTGGCTTTGGCGCATTGGGCACAATAGGCATAGAAGTTGTCATACCCTGGTGCCAAATTGAAGGTAAAAACATTTGTTTTTGGGTCAACTGCAATGGTTTTTCGATACTGACACCTGTCTCCCTTGCAGTGTACAGAGCTTGCCTTCTGTTGTTTCAATGAATGTTTCAAGGCCTCTTTTCTTGAGAACTTGTGAGATATGCTGTGGGCTCAGCAATCTCATCTTGCCTGAAGGTACGTAGAATGAATTTGGGATTCGGAATGTGTGTTCCTTTCTGTCATCATCCAACCATTTCCAAACCAGTGTTCCAGCCATGACATCAATGGTCTTTTGGTTACCAAAGCCCTTGATGACATGCTGTGTGTTTTGCAGATCTTCGAAGTGGTATTCCTTGTTGGAGATGCAGAAGGAGCAGCGGTTGTTGATGCCGATTGTCAGTGAATCGGTGTCAAAGCGAGCTGGATGGTGTGTCCCTCCCTCTGACTGAGTGCGGTGTGCCAATACAGAGTTGACAATGAGCGCTCGTTGGATCTCTTGTGGGATTTGAGAGCGTTGGATGCAAGACATCCACTTATAAGACATCCACATATAAGACATCCACTTATAGCTAGACTTGCAAGTCCAGAGCTGTTGGTGGAGCTTGATTCGGGCACGCAAGTTTTGGGAGGTACGTTCCCTGACCTCTTTATTCTATTTTCTTCCTGTGAGTCCAAACTTCTTGGCTAGTTGAACCCACTTGTATCTGACCCACTTTCTCATCCATGCATACCGTGTCCACCTTTGAGATTTGGGAACATAGTATGGCACAGAGTCATACTGTAAAATACTGCAGGTATTGGCTAGCGAAGGATGGACTGATTGGAACGCCCAAGTACGTATGCAAAGAAGGTGCAGTAGCAGGACAGTGGAAAGCTACGTACCAAAGAGGTTGTGAAAAATGTTGGTGAATGAGCTGCAGCTCAGTTGCAGCTCATTCCTTTTGAAAAGACTGCTCTGTATTTGACAGAGTGAATTTGAAGTCTAGGAATAGATAGTTTTTAAGATTAGGAAAGCACACGGCTCTTCTACCTGTAACACCCATCATCATGACCATTACGGACTTCACCGTGCGCAAAAAGAGCTACTGCTATCTCACCACCCAGGCGAGCTACCCAAACCATGATTCCAAGGCGGTCCTTGATGCCTTTGATCCCACCAAGGACCTTCAGTTGCAAGATCTAAACAGCCTTGTCGAAAAGGGTGTGCAAGGAGGCGCCCCGGCCTGGTACACGGGATGGCCCAAGGAACAGGTGAACAACTTTAATTTTTGGCATCGCCCAATGATTAGGTACACGACGGTTGGCGAAAAGAAAGAGCAGCATTTTGATAAGTTGTACGTGCTGGACCATGACGTTCTGGAGAACGGGAGCGACCCACTGGCATTCTCTTGGCCAGCAAAGGCCTTCTCAAAAACCAATCCGGTTAAGGTTCCAAAGTTGGAGGCGTGGTTGATAAACAAGGCGCTTGAGCAGGATCACTCCAAGCTGTTCGTGATGGAGGATATCACTGACGAAGATCCTGAGACAGCATACGACCTACTGGTTACACGCAAGCGAATGCCCATTCCCACGGAGTTCTTGGATATTGCTTGGGACGGATCGTCGGCATGCAAAGTCTTGCGATTGGTGATTGATAGAATCAAGATTCTCGCCAACAGCGAGGAGCCTGAAAAAATTTCGGAAGTGCATGAAAAGTTCCGGCACTTTGTGGACCATTGGCGCGTGGCAAACACGGTCATCGGGAGAGATCAGCTTTCGAAGAATGTCGGAGAACCTGCTGTTCTCACTGCAACATCTGCCTGACGCTGGGTCTCCGGAGTAATCAATTCGGATTTCGCCGGATTGGACTCGGAGGACTCATCTGGAGATTCCCCCCACAAGACCTACGAACTGCTCACCAAGACCTTGGCAGCCATGGAGGAGAGTAATGAGACGACAAAGACCTCCGTGGAATCGCTTTCGGAGGTAGTGGTAGCGGGCATCCATGGACAAGCATTGCACAAGGCCCCCCCAAATACAGTGGAAAAGAAGTGGCCCACAAGACTCTCCTATCTGAAGAGAGTTGCTGGTACTACGACCTCAGCTCAGCTCCCCACCCTCTGGCACGAGCTAGCAAAGTGTAAGAAGCACGAATCAATTGGAATTGTGCAGTCCCTGCTGGATGATGAGGCCGAAAAACTGAACCTCAATTTGGAATTCATCGTTTCAGCCCAAGTAATCAAGAGCCTGGTGGAATTGGAATTTTGTTCGCGCGGCGACGTTGAAAAGGGGTTGAACGTGTTTAATAGTGTCTGTTTCCAGCACTACAAAAATGCAAACGCAATCAACGATTACAACAAGAGCGATTACTGGTTGACGGGCGAAAAGACGACCATGTCAATGAAGGATCATCAAGCCTACGACAAGATCAAGCACGCTATCTTCCCAAGGGATCCCATGCAGTTCCGTGAGATGGTCAATGGTATGCGGGTATTCTACCGTTTAGTGTTTGGAAAAACACATCCACTGACAGTCATGTACGAAAAGTTTGCAAAGAATGTGGATTCGATTGCACAAAAAATGGGAGTGTCCCAACAGGAGCGAGCACTCGAGCGTTTTCTCTTCGGAATCTATTCCCAAATTGATCGTTACTTTGAGCATTTGGTGAGGTCCCGCACAAACGCAGAAGAAAACCTACCAGACTTGGGCACCTACATGGAGACATGCTACCATGGAGGAAGCCTACCAGAGTCAAGCTTGTTTGTTGTCGCCAAGGACCCTGTAGGACCAAGTGGAACAGGAGACAAGACAGAGAGTCAGCTGAAGAGAGAGAAGGAAAGGGCCCAAAAGAAGAGCCTGGGCGAATCAGTAAAAAACCCTGACATGAACAAAGAACATCGCTACACCGGAAGAACTACCTCTGAGTTAATCAAACGGACAGGCGAACAGCCTCCAAAGCACGCCAACGGAAAGGAACTGTGCCTCATTTGGCACACAAAGGGCGAATGCAAGGAGAACTGTGAACGTAAGCATTCCCATTGTAAGCTGACTGACGAGGAAGCAACCGCAATGAAGGATTATGTAAATAAGAATAAGTGAGATGGAGGCCGGGAATCATCGGATTCTTGCAGGCCATCTCAATCGGACCCACTTTCGTTACGATCTACTTTAATTGGAGGTAGTGCTAATACTATAGGTGAGCTGGTTGCGTTGGCTAATGAAACTTATTTAAAACACGGTTGGCAAGTCACTGCTCGTTTATTCCGTTCAGATGATGCTGCACCAGATATTGATAAGCTTCCGCACCCTGCCGCACCAATGCTACACCGAGTAATGAAAAATGGGGCTCCTGTGGTGGTTCATTCGGAGCCATGGAGCCAGAGCCAACTTGACATGCGAGTCGCTTGGGGCTGTCACTCATCAGCAAACGAATTCAAAGAATTTCTGATGGAGGAGTTTTTGGATTTTGGAAGGAAGGGATTTTTTATCCTACTTCCATATGACGCCATCAAGGACGAGAAAGGACTTCGCCTTTCTCCAGTTGGCTGCGTACCACAAGATACCAGAAGACCGCGGATGATTGTTGATTATTTGTTCTGGGGACTCAATGACGAGACAATGAAACTCGCCCCAGAGGGAGCTATGCAATTCGGCGCGGCCCCACTGCGCATCCGCAAGGCACTCATGAAGGCAAACCCGGAATATGGGCCAGTTTACATGTACAAGAACGACATGTTGGATGGTTTTTACCGCATCCGGCTGTCAACTACCGGCGCACTCAAGCTTGGGATCATTTTACCGCGTTTTGAAGGACTTCCACAATTGGTTGCACTACCACTTGTGCTTCCAATGGGTTGGACAGAGAGTCCATCATGGTTCTGTGCTTTCACGGAAACTGTTGCCAACCTGACAAATGTTGACTTGCAACAAAACAAGCGAGTGCCACCGCATCCATTGGGAAGGGCAGCAGCCATCACTGACTTTGAAGTGAGGGACACACAAGTCGTGAGACCTGTACCACAATCTCACCAGCCACTGACTTACCAGCGCCCATTGAAAAAAATGGAAGTCTTTGTGGACGATTTTGTTGGAATGGGCCAAGACCATCCAAGCAATCCTTTGACAAATCAACGAGCCGTCCTCAGCCACAACATTGACAAGGTCTTCGGACCAAATCGACCCACAGACAATCAGTGGCGAAAAGAGCCACAGTCAAAATCGAAAATGGCCAAGGGTGATGCCTCTTGGCACACAACCAAAGAAGCCTTGGGTTGGAACTGGGGAGTGACAACAAAGACATTGCAATTGAAAGAGAAACAAGTGAGCAAGGCCCTGTCACTCCTGGGTGAGGTCTTGGATTGCAAACGCGTCTCCCTGAAACAATGGCAGCAGGTGTTAGGAGTCTTACGCAGCCTGCAGCCAGGAATGTCGGGCAGTGAGGGACATTTCTCCCTGCTGCAGGATGCACTGATTTGACAGGTGGATTGTAGGGTGCGGTTGACTCCTGAGGTCCGTGAGCAACTGGAAATCTTCCAAGATTTTCTTCATGGCCATGCGAAGCGCCCCACAACACTTGAAGAACTGGTACCAGGCGTTGACTTACACGTTGGCGCTTGCGATGCGGCAAAGTCGGGAAGGGGAGGAGTGTGGTTCACAGACGATGGAGAGGCCATCGTCTGGCGCGAACCATACCAAGAAGCAGTGAAAAAAGAGGTTATTTCGGCTGTCATGGCCATTTACCATACGGAGGTGAGTCCAGTACTGTTGAACCAGTGTGAGGCATCCAATCCCAGGGAAGTTGCTCTCATCGGATATTACATTGCACCCTTGCACATGTAGAAACGATCTTGCCACTCGGGGCGGCGTATTTTTATTTTGTTTTTTGAGTTTTTTGAAGGTGATGGTGGGCATGATTGTGTAGCAGGTAAGAAGCCAATTGTTCTTGCGCCCTAATGCCCTGGGTGTTAGAATAAAGCAAAATGTGCTCTATCGTGAGTGCTTTTAGCGCTCAGAACAAACTCTCTGCAATCTAAATTCGTAATCGACTGTACAACACTTTCACGACAATAGTTCTCCTGTGTCTAGGTATACTTTGAGTGAAAAAATGAAAATTCGCATGGATGATTATGTCAATCGCATGCTGAGTGAGTTTCCAGTCATATATATATAACTGATGCATTAATTGTATTAAAACTATCTCAAGTTTCTAGATTGCCGTTAATGGCTGTCATGGCCATTTACCATACGGAGGTGAGTCCAGTACTGTTGAACCAGTGTGAGGCATCCAATCCCAGGGAAGTTGCTCTCATCGGATATTACATTGCACCCTTGCACATGTAGAAACGATCTTGCCACTCGGGGCGGCGTATTTTTATTTTGTTTTTTGAGTTTTTTGAAGGTGATGGTGGGCATGATTGTGTA